TCACCAGAAGTATCCACAAAAAATAATCCTCTTTTTGTTCCTGTGCACATTTCAGTCACCACAGATTTTCCATTCATAATGGAAGTGGGGCGATTAATGTCTTTTATTTTTTGCCTTCTTATCTCATTATGCGTCCTCAGCATTCAGCTACCTACCTCTAATCTTGCGTTTAGTATTTATTGAGTTCCAAAAGCAATACAAAACACTGGCTGAAAGCTTAATTGTTCTTTTTATTTACAGAGTATGACAAGCTTCTGCAGCAGCTGAGTAAACAGTGTGGTGAGTTATTCACAGTTGGAAGCTCTTCTTTAGAGAACAACCTTTGTGAAATGTGCCAATGATTTGTTTTTTACAACAGATGTGGTGTGTTGGGAGGAGGATAATACAACTGAAAGCCATGTTAATTAATTTTGGTGTGTTGTTGTTTCAGAATATTAATGCGTTGAGCTCTGCAGATAAGAAATATGGTGTTTTAAATGACAGAGGAAACTGAAATATATGCGAATAATCAGGAGCTCTGCCTTCTCTCTCTACAGCAATGTCAGCCAGCCCACTGAAGATTCAGTGCACTGCGGAAGGTTTCAAGCTCTACTGCTCACTCAAATACTACATAAACTACCTGAAGACCAGCTGGCACTTTAAGTGAGTCTGCATGCAGAGCACCTCTCTGACCTAACACCCTATATGCAGCTGCTGCCAGGGAGGAAGTGTTTCAAACTAAACTGAAATTCTGTAAAACGCCAAATTAAAGTAAGTCCCAAATAAAATTGCTGAAAACCATGATGTTCAGAAACACACAAACAGGAAAGCAAAATAAAAGTAGCTTAAAGTTTATTTTGGCTTCAGTATCATGTAGCAGTGTGATCACAGTGTTTACTGCAATCCACAGAAGAGCAACACTGTAAATGCCAAGCTAAAGATGCATAAGAATATGCATACAATACTGTATAGCTCTATGACTGTATGGCAGCTGTCTCTTTGGCTGGTAAGGTGCACATGTACACATCACAGACCATAAGACAGAGCCACACATACTGGCTTTACAATTTGGCTCTTGTCAAAGTCGCTCAAATCCTCACGCTGCCCATTTTTCCTGCTTCTAACACAACAACATGTTTACTTGCTGCCTAATATATCCCACCCACTGACAGGTGCCATGATTACCAGATAATCAGTGTTATTCACTTCACCTGTCAGTGGTCATNNTGTTCACTTGCTGCCTAATATATCGCACCCACTACTTAGTGTTCATAATGTTATCGCTGATCAGTGTAATTCTGTGCAACCAAACATTGTTGAGACCCACAAAACTTTATTTAAAAAACCAGAGAAGGCCTAATCTTTTCAAAGATACCAAATGTACCAGTCAGAGTTTTGGATAAATGTGTATAATATGACTGATATATAAGACATATAAGATAAATAAAAACATGGAAAATTGGGGCCCACAGATAGCTCAGCTGGTAGAGCTGGCACCCCATGTACCGGGGCTGAGTCATCCCCTCTCTGAATCCCCCTTTCGTGTCACTCTTCAGTTGTCACTATCCATTAAAGGCAATAAACCCCCCCAAAATAAATAAAAAATAAAAAAAAAACATTGGAAAATTGAGTTTGATTATTTAACTCAAAATAGATTTGTAACAAGCTGATACAGAATATAGAAAATACTGTCAGAGTGTGGAATAAGATGGGGTTTTTTCAACCTTAAAGCTATTTAAGGGGGGGATATGGGAAAAGCTATATGCTGAGGTGGGAACCAACATAGTCGAAATGTCTATTTTGCAGCACTAAAAGTCAGGGAATAACAGAGAGAGAGAAAGACAAGAAAGAAAGTGTAAGCTGTTCCACTGGACTAATTGTTTAAGGGCCGTTTCTAATCTTCTCTGTTTTTTAAAATATTGAAACATGCACGTACATTTAATCAAATTATTAAGATTCTGTGATATTAATAAACATACAACAATCACTCAAAGGACCTACTGTGTGTATACTAAAACATAATTATTGCATGACAAAGGGTGTAACCAGTTTCTTCTTTGTAAGGCTGCTAGCTCCATCTGCTGGGGGCTTTAAGGATAGCCTTTACAAAAGAACTGAAGAAAATCTGACCAGTGTGGTAACAAATGTTCTTGGTCCTGGATAGTTTTAAATGATTTCAGTCTGAACTGTAACTGCACTTTATTTCCCAACTACATTTTGTACACATGACTTATGATTAAGAGCAGTGGGCAGCCTAACTCTAGTGACCAAAGGAGCAGCTCTTCAGCTGAGACAGTGCTTTCGTCTAGGGCAAAAAGCACTGGTACGTCCTTAACATGCATGTTTTTGATAAGAATCTGGTCTTTGTGTGTGTCTGTCTAATGCCCTCCTCCGTTTAGGGAGAAGAGGATTGACCAGGAGGCTAGGACAAAGCCTGACAACAGTATGCAGAAAGTCTGGATTGAAATCTTTAACCCAACAGAGAACGATAAAGGCAAATACACCTTGGAGATGTTTGACGGCAAAGAGACACACAAACGGCATCTTGACCTGTCTGGACAAGGTGAGTGGAAATTACTTGTTTGAATTGAAGGGTCTAAAACAAATTTTAAGATTATATATATATTTTCATATAAATATTATAAATATTTCAGAGCAGATGCTATAAGATGTCATTTATTGTTATTTTCAACAGCGTTTGCTGATGCCTTGCTGGAGTACCAGAGATTGAAGTAAGTGCTGTGACCTTAGCAACACTTTACCACATTTCACATTTTATTTCATCAAAAAGTATTTTTAAGTGATGAAAGATTAAACTTGTCTGGCTCTTACAGTAGATAAGAGCATGGCTTGCTGTGACACTAACAGAAAACACTGAACAGTCAAAGGTAACAGGCTAGTTTAAAACTATTCCCTGAGAAGATCTCAGCACAGATTATTGTTGTTTGACACTGTACAGTGCCATATTGATTTGACCCTTTGTTTTCATCCCTCAGGCAAGTGGCTATTGCTGAGAAACGTGAGTCACAGGCCTTTTTTGTCCACAGCAAAGATTAAAGGGTCCTACAGTGAATTTCATCTGGGAGTTATTGCTCTTGTTTTGTTTCAGATCGGGCCAAAGTGACAAAGGGTCTTCCCGATGTGGTAGCCATCATGGAGGGCAAGGTATGGCATTGTCAGGAAAACATTTAAGACTACTTAGACCCACATTCATACGCAATTATACTACGTTGTGATATTATTGTAATTTTTTTATGTGAAGCAGGTCTGCAAGCATCATATTGTGGTTGTGCAAGTTTAATTTTTACAGATTTGATCCTCTATCATTCATTCATTCATTCATTCATGATTATTTTATATTTTTTGACTCCTCATCCTCTCTTCAGTCTTTGTGTCTGACATGCTTCATCGACGGTGATCCAGCCCCGGAGATCTTCTGGCTTAGGAATGACAGGGAGATTGTTAGCCAGAACCAGTTTACCATCACTAAGGAACCGAAGTGCAGCACCATCACCGTCAACAACGTCAACATGGAAGATTCTGGAAGATACAGCATCTTTGTGCGCAACCAGTACGGCTCTGAAACGGTTGATGTGACAGTGAGCGTTTACAAGCGTGGGGAGAAGCCTCCAGCAAACGCGGTGGAGATGGGTTAAGACTGCAAACTGAGTCAGAAGATAGATACGTAGAGAGATAGAGAGATAGATAGTGGATTGTTCATGTATTAGACAACTTTATTGAGCATTTGAAAAATATCTACTGAGGTTAATCATAAATGTAATCCCCTATAGTCTGCAAACTATCCGTATAATTTAAATACTAGACAGTGCAAGTCAAGCCCCATTAGTCAGTCATAAAGATTGTTTCTTTACTGTAAGACTGTGAATGAATGAAAAGCTGACTTTATAAGCAGTAAAATGCACCATTGCTCAATTCAATACACTATTGTTATGCAGCTTATGACAGCTGTCATTAGATAAAGTTAGCTGTCATTAGCTACGATCAGTGACCAGTTGCTTATGGTAGCTATCGTGAGCTTTAACATTAGGATGTTAGCATTAGCTGGAAGCAGAGAAGCATTTATTAGTAAGCTTAGATATTGCTTTATTATAACTTACATTACAGAGCCAGTTTGCTGACTTTCACTCTCCCCTACCTGTGCTACTGTTACATTATATTTAATCATTTACCTGTATTTAATAATGGTCACTAAGCAACTGTCACAACAAAACCTCCAAAACCCTCACCTATTAGGCTGTAGAGCTGAATCAGATGTGTGTTGGTGTGTCGTGAATAAAGCAATTTCAAGTGATTATCACTAGTGCATTGTTTTTATGAGCACTCACAATATTATATTCCCTCTTAATATTCATAGTCAGTAAACTTTTATTCCAGGTTATGATCAACTATTCAAGACAATGCGGACTACAGATTTCTTTGTGAATGATTTTTCAAGCAGAGATTATGTCTTGTACTTTAAACCAGCAGTCCGTAGTGTCATTAACCTTACTACTGGGCCTCTGTCGACAGGCAGATTCATGTTAGGAGGTTCAATGGCACACTGTGGAAAGGTCGTAGACGTCCAGTAAGTTCAGTTAAGATCTAATGTTCAATAAATGATAATATATAAATATAATATATAAATATGACTAATACTTAGTGTATGCAGGTGTATTAATTAAATAATTTTCTGATTTAGAGTATTAACCTCAAACTCAACTTCGAGCGATCCCTGTGAACTTTACAGTAACTGAAGGACATGATTTATTCCTAGTTCATATACTGCCTGTTAATTGGTGCACATATAAAAATCTGCACATATTTCTTATCAATGAAGCTATTGAACACATGTAACTAAAATAAATCTAAATGAATCTTTGGTGGAAGCTGAGGTTTGACCAAACAGGAGTAAGTGAACTCCAGGTTGTTCAAACAGCAGTGATTACTTCAGAGGGGTTTGTTACTGATTACACATAGTATTGGGACCCCCTTTTTGCTTTCCTGTATAAAAACGTGCACGACTACAGTCACATCCTCTACATTGTGTTGAGCTTCACACAGCTGTCACAGCCTCCAGCCCACTTTGGTAAAGGAGAATCCAGATCTTCTAGAAAACATGGACTTCAACGGAACATGGCAGGTCTACGCCCAGGAGAACTACGAGGAGTTCCTCAGGGCAATGGGTGAGAAAAACAAACCGGAGGCTCTGGTAGAGCTGCAGGGGTTGGCAGAATATAAATGAATATATTAACTTTGGTAGCTGAAGATAAAGTGGCTATTTTGATGTTGTTAAAGCATTGTAATGTTTATTATAACCACACAGCGTTGCAGTCCATGGAGTCCTTACTTGTAAGTTGCAGGAATTAACAAAAACACATGTTTTGCTTACCAGAACTTCCAGCAGATGTCATCAAGATGGCCAAGGACATCAAGCCAATTACTGAGATCAAACAGAATGGCAATGACTTTGTTGTCACCTCCAAGACCCCTGGAAAGACTGTGACCAACTCCTTTACCGTCGGCAAGGAGGCTGAAATCACCACCATGGACGGCAAGAAGATCAAGGTTTGTAACTGTTATTTACATTAAGATGGTATAGAAAGATTTTAGATGGTGTGTTACCTGATTTAATACAGTATGAATACGCTTAAAGCAGAAGTATGTGTTATTTTTCTCAAGAAAGTCTGGAGTATACTGTGTAATGAACTATTGTTACACTCTTATTTGCTGCAGGGATGATGGTGATGTGCATGTTGTGTTCAGTTCAGTTTCTTTTGGGTCCATGCTTTGTTTTGTGATATGTATTGTCTCCTCCTCTGACCCCCAGTGCGTCGTCAATCTGGAGGGTGGCAAACTGGTCTGCAAAACCGGCAAGTTCTGCCACATCCAGGAGCTCAAGGGAGGAGAGATGGTTGAGGTACAGTACATCCTACCAGAACTCACTCTTTCTTACACACACCAGTTATCTAAGACCAGATAAAATGTAAATGTACTCACTTCAAATGTATGTGTAATAATCTTAAATAGTGTCATTTATCACCAGGCCACAAATTAATTATGCTTATTTTTCCCTTATCCCTTTTCAGACTTTGAGCATGGGCTCAACAACTCTCATCAGGAAGAGCAAAAAGATGTAACCTCGGCAGTGAAAGAAACCAATGTCTATTTAAATAAAAAAAGAGTTGCTTAATAAGTGTGGTTTGCATCATTATTTTTGAGCAAATATCCATGTATTGGTCTCTTTGTAAAAGCCTACTCAACATCCTTATTAGTAGTAGTAGTCGTAATAGATAGATAGATAGATAGA